AGATTTTTACCAAGACATTCTGTCAAATGATTACTATGTCAGATTGGTAAAATACAGCGTACTTTAGTGTCATGTTGCTCAAACCATCCAACAATTCGAAAAACTGATTCATAATTTTCAGTGAATGTTGCACACTTAAGACTTGTTAGGTACAATGATTGCCATCCGGTGATCAGCTTTTGTCATCATGGAAGCATGACTGTCTGGGCTAAGCTTCTTCAGAGAAATAATCGAAATCTACATTATCATAGATGTACATAACAGGTCAGAAATTGTAAACATCAAATCATTGCTGGATTGTGACTGGACTATGAGTGTTTTTCAGTAAAGTTATAAGACATTCACGCTATGGTGTATTGATACATACCACGCATTAATGTAAGTTTGTATGCGTGCATGTGTATGTTTTGTATTTCAGACATCGGTCATTACAAAACAATAGAGGTCGAACGCGTCATAATTGTCAATCCATGAAGAATGTGTACTTTATATGCATTATGGTCAAGATTTGATCGAATAGTCTCACGAATATTGGGCACCGAGTGAAAAGTTGATATTAGATATGTTATATTTGGACAAATTTCAGCGTGTTTGAGGTAAGGATTCCAACGTTTCGCAAGGAGGTCTTTGTCTATGATAATGCAGATTTCCAATATTTCTCCGAAGAAGCTCAGACTAGACGTTTATGAGAAACTTTGCATTTCTTATTTCAAACACGCTGAGATTTGTCTAAATATAACTAATGTCGAATGTGTACTTATAGCCAGCTGTACTCCATTTTTTCGGTTCAAGCCGTCGGGATTGGCTCATATATGTAAGGCCTCAGAATTCAGTCTTTCTTTATATGATATCAAACCTTTTTGTAGGATTTCGCTCCCATCGAAATCAATCTTGTATCCCGTTTCAATCTCACGAAGTGTTATCACAGATCTATTCTCCAATCTCTGAGTATCTGCTGAGGTCTTTGGAATTTGTTTTAGATACTGTCAGTGCCTTCGTCCAGTTTAATCTGACATGAAAAGAATATGGTCAATAAATTATGTCCGAAATGTTATCCAGCAAAATAATCTTGTTTCACTAGGAAGCATTACTAATGAAAAGACTAAAATTGGTATTAAATGGTTGTTCTTAGAGTTCGAAAATCATATAACATTGGTCCAGTTTTCTTTGAACTGTGGTACTTCGTAGTGGACGTTTCATCACTTATTTTTGTGATATTTTTCTCTTGAGCTACAGGTCTCCATTATATTGCAAGATCATATTTCATCTCGTCAAACATTGATTTCTTCTCGTTACTTTCAACTCTTTTAATGAAAATAAAACTTTTAATATCGAAGAACACTACATAACTGATGCAAGCTTATCTTATTGCTCAGTAATAGACTACTTACGGCTGTTACTGAAAAATATCAATTTTTGGCTTTCACAATCGGTTGCAGCCTTGTGATGAATATTTTAGCTTGAATACAGTTCACCTTCAGCCACCGTGAAATATATCGGAAAGTAGAGGCTGACTGCTTGATTGATCAAGACGACAGAATATTGCTCAAAATTGGTCGCGGCACCGCAGATCTATATTCACTTTATCACCTTTGAAATCTTGAATATTTTCACGAATAGTCATAGATTTATTTTCTTTTATCTAATACACTTTTATCTACTTAAGTAACACCGTTTTTCGATCCACTACTTTTTTGTATGTCAGTTTATAGAGGATGAATACAATTCTATACAGTTTTCTACGTTGATTTGCTTATCCGTCCGTATCAATATTAAAAGACACAACTCTGGAATTTAGTATCGTTTGTTAAAATATAAGTTTGATTGTTTAGTTATTTAAATAAAAAATCTTTCAGATTAATTATAAATGGTTAAGGGGTAGACTAGGCTTTTCCAGTTTTTACCACCTATAATACAATAGTTGTTGAATTTCCATGCGTATTACATAAATTTTTCGATAGAAAAGCGTTACTAGGCGATATAAAGCTCAAAGATATGGCTACATGATAGCTAAGACTTGCTTTTACTGGGTTTCTGACTTATAGCTTCTCAATGAAAATGCTTGGTTTTTAAGTTGGTTTCAATGATATCTAAGTTCGTTTGAAACCAAATTACTTTGTGTAAAAGTTGTACGAAAATTGGGTAGAAATGGTAATTGATCTGTCCAGTAAACAACACATTTACGTAAATCACGTTTATTTTTCTGAATGGGCTTCTTATCATTTCTCAGAATAAACCGGGCAACGAAAATGCGTTTATAAAGGGGATTACATATAAAACTTTACAAGATAAGGAAAAACGTGTTGAAGCGAAAGGTTCCTGTGGTGTCGAGTATTACGGTCTCAATGCTTCAAAGAAACCTAAAATGCTCAAGTGTTTACAAATAAAGTTAAATAATAATGTTCAAGAACATTGGACTCGTCAGTAGAGCGAGATGAACATATAGATAACGAAATAACTGAGACTGTTGTGAATATACTATATACTTAACAATATGAGTAGTTAGGAATCACTCAGCTTGGTCTGTAGATTCCTGTAGCTAAATCAGTGTGATCTAGGCACAGTGCTACTTTACGTTCCCTTGTGGTCAAGCTTATAAGGGGGTCAGATCCGGTTGGTGAAATCTATAGGTCAGTATGAGCTGCATTTTTTCTAAAAAAAGGTCTACTCATATCACAATTGTGCATCTGTAAAACGTTTTAGCTGTTAGGTATGTCTTCCTACGCCATGCAATTTCCAAGTAGTTTGCAAATTAATCATTCTTTTGACTTTAAATGCTTAAGTATATTTTTGTACATAGTTTGCATAGGTAGTTAACAATTTCCCATTTCAAGTTGATATTCATTATGGACTGACATCAGTTAGAGGAACAGTTAGAATTTTGGAAGCATTGGACACATGTTTCGTTCTACAATGGGACTCCTCAGTAAGGCGCACCTATGATCCCACCAGAGATCGAGCCCACGACCTGCAGGCTTCACGGCTAGCACGTTACAATTTAGCCATTGAATCCGAATCTATGGTCCATATTTCCAACTTCTGTCAGTTCATGACCATTTAATCGCTTCTTGGGTTTTGAAAGAAACAGGTTATCATTGTGAGTGAAGTTTCTGGAATTATGTTTGGTTATGGAGCGTGCTTTTCATGAAATAAAGAAGGCTAATTGATTGTTTAAGAATCTGCTTACACGGTTTAAATGTCTTTCCTACAGAAAAATCTTATTTAGTTAGACGGATATCGAGTGATGAAGCCATAAATGCATTAACAATAAACCATAGTTTTCTTGCTAGTACACTGTTATCATCTTTGATGGGATGCAGGATGCTGTTACTTCTATGGATTCAAACAGCTATCTAGCATCAAATTCCGAAGTTAGGTGGTTACACTGCAGTTTATTCTATTAAGAGGTTGCTAAACATGTTACAAAATGAAGCTACAAGATATCATCAGCACTTAGTCATCACTGGAAGTTTGGGCAAAGTATTCTGGAGAAAAATAATCCACAACCGTATTTTTGATTGATAGGCATTAGGTAATTATTCATTCAGTTTATAACTTATGTCAAAACCGTTGTTTTAAAACTCCGGCGATAACAGTTTTATCCTAACTTCAGTAATGACTGTTTCTGCAAATATCGGAAGAACTCTATTTGATTGCTGGAAAAGAGAGATGACTGTGGTGAATAAAAGGTTGTTCTTTTCAACAGAAACATCTCCATAGCTGTATATTCTTGAATATATGGTCAAAGTGGTAGAAAGTTTCGAAGTACTTTCCTATAAAAGGTCAGTACTAATTCTTCGTAATTAATATAGGTGTTTAAAATGTAGTTGCATCATTACAAGGGGCTTATTTAGAGTGATCTATCCTTCATGATGGCCATTAAAAAAACTTTTAAAAAATTTTTTTGGGAAGCACAATGATAGTCTGAATTTTTGAATTTCTAGTGCTTTAGCTATGCTGAGGTTGATGGACCTAAATACTGTTGACTGGCTTAGTTCCACTTTGAACACACTTTGAAGGACTTTTCAAAAGGAGCTGAACGTTTTGAGTTTATTATTTTAACGGCTACTTTTACATGAATTCCAACGCATATATACCTTTCGATATTTCCACAGTTTTGGAGATAATGGTATAGATTGAGATGAAAGGGTGCATTTTTTCAGGATTACAACCAGTATTGTTCCACTCACCAACTATGTCAGTTAAATGATTTGTTCAAGTTTTTGTCTCACTTTTCCAACCACTGAGTTTCTTTTGTATGTGCATTTTGGTTCCTTATACCTGTACCATTCACAAAATTAAACTTTATCACTAATAACATAAAATTAAAGATTTTCATAGATTTCCTTCACTGAGATGAATTCAACGATGGTGACTATTAATTCCGTCAAGTGTCTTGCACAATCAGTTAGCTAACTGTTAAACCAAAATAAATTCTTTTATTTAATATTTAAGTTTGCACCACAACGTGTTTAACCTAACTGCCATAGCTTTTTATGACCACTGACCTTGTTTTAAGGATACATGAAGAAAGTATTGTCAGTTGAACTGTCTTAAGTACTTGAGGTTATTAAAGGATATAAACATTATGATTAATAGGTCAGTGCCTACAAATGAGAGATTAACGTAACATTTATCAACAGTGCAAAGATTTTACATAAAATTCTAATCAGGATAGTATAACAGATTTATCTACACGTCATGGTGTATTAAAAAAGTCAACCAATCAGATCTTTTTCAAAATGTTTATTCCCAAATCCTAAACACCAATCAAAATTTACTGGAGGATGATAATATTAAGGTAACGGTCTCTCGATCATAAGTAATGAACAATGTACACAGTGAAATATCGAATGTATGACAGTTTCACATATTACTTGATAGTAGCATTTTTACATTGTTTTTAAAATGATTTCTTTTAAAGGATATACAGATATTACTGTGAAATAGACGATACTTTTGAATATATATTCTTGTTATTATGTGACAAAACAGGAAATATGTCACAGCATAAGGGATTATCTACACCACAAAATAAGTTTCTTGAAACTATAGCTGCACGTTCAGATGCAATACGTAAGTAAATATTTTTTTCAACATGAACTATTATCTGAAGTAGCCATTGTGTGACTGACTCATTTATGATATGAAATGGTGACTGTACAAGAAACTCATACCTGCATTACTTTGGAAAGCCTTCGCTTTGAATGTATCTTCAACTAAGATTTTCACTTAATATAACAGTAAAACTTGTGTACTGTGGTAGATTGTAGTTCCATTTATATTGATTTATTAAATTTACCACATAGTGTAACAGCATTGTTTACTGGATTACGGTTCGGACATAATTTACTGTCCAGAGTCATATAAAGATAACTATACAATTTGGAGATATCGTTTGTATAGTCTTAATTTTTTCTCCCCATCGTGATGTGGGTAGTAAGATTCTCCATATATCCGTAACAGGTGCTGAGTCATTCCTTTTGCATGTATTAGTTGCTAACTCGATAAAGAAAGATTTAGTCATTAGTCTCTTCCCCCATCCTGCTACGTTAGTTTAAGGGATTTTCACCCTGTCACTTCCTATTTTATAGTTGTGTGTAATCGCATGCATGACTATGGCTGGACTTTATTCTAAATTCCTTACTTTACCAGTATCTGACAATTTTGATCTACCTAATTTTTTGTGCTCGGATAGCCCAGTTGATCCTGTTTGACTACTTCGACCTATGAATTTAACCTCACAGTCATTGCAAGGGATTTGGTAAAGTAAATTATTCTGCTTAATTGGATCAGTAGGATATTTTGATCTACACAGCTTATTTCTTAGTTGAAATGCCACTCTAATCACAGCCTTATTGAGAATCCTACGCAATGTTTCTGAGATACTTTTCTTATGGCAGTATTGTGGAGGTTTTAAATTATTTCTTCATAGTACTGCCACTACTTTCACTGACACTATCATTACTGATATTATTACTATTATTGCCTTTATGATTACTACTAATAATACCTCTGTTACTAATATTTATTTTACGATTCCTGAGGAACTTATCAATTAATTTGGGAGGGTAACTGTTGATGAGAAAGGCGTCTTTAATATATGTGGTTTCTTGTCATAGATCTTTTGTTTTACTAGTAAGATTTTTGGCGCTGTTACTTAGACAGCTTACCAAGCCAAATGTAACTGACATAGGGTGAGACGGTTTGAATATGAGGGTTTACCGTATACGCTAGTGTCTAAACGTCCATCTTGATTCCGTTTTATTCTGCAATCCAACAACGCTTATTCACCTCTACGATTTAATAATCCATACGTGGATTGGGTTGCGTTGGCTACTAAATTTATTTGTGAAGAAATTATATGTGCTCCGATTTCAACACTGCAGACGTGTCATTTACATATCAAAACCATATTTTTGGAGCCGGAAAGAATTTTTTCCACAGCCATCCTTTCTCAATTATCAATAAATATGTCGGCCACAATAGGGGATATTGACTATCATATAGCAACTCCTTCTGTTTGTTTGTATAATTTATGCTAAGACCCGAAAATTGGGCAGGTTAGGCATTACAGTACCCTTAGAGTGACATCATCTACTGGTAACTTCGTTTGTAGTTTAAGCTCATGATCATTATTAGGCTTGTTTTTAACTGCTTCTAGAGACACGCCAATCCCTGTATTAGCATACAGGCTAACTACTTCCAAACTAAACATTTTTTTGAAACAGTTAGTCCCTTTTATGAATTTCGATAGCGTAATTAGAAGACGAAGTTTATCTGAGCAATGAGATGTATTTGCGTAATACATTTCGAACAATCTGATCACACATTTACTTGTATTGTCCTGTCCATGTAGGCTTTCTGTAAACTGACCATCTTAATGAACCATCTTCTCATCGACAGGACAACACCCGAATTTCCACAGTTTTTGTCCAATCCAATATAAGCGAGGTTTAGTAAAATGCCCGTTTAACAGGATCTATAGTATCAGTACACCAGATGCGATGGATAAAGACATCAAATTACTGAGCAAAGCACTTATGGAAAATGGATATCCGACGAAGTTTATAAACCGTTGTAGAGGTCAAGTAGCACCAAAGCCAACTCTATACACGGTCCTTAAGAAAAATGTCCATATCACTCTACCATACAGAGGGCAGCTAAATAGTATCATTTTGAGACGTAGGCTGATATCAGCCATTAAAAAAAGTATTACGCAGCGAATCTTACCATTGTGGAGAAAACAAAACACATGCTTCACCAAAAACCTAAACACTGCATCAGTGATTACGTCATATCCCATTGTGTTTACCAATTTACATGTGTGTGTGGTCACACATACATAGGGAGGAGTAATCGAGTTATGCAGTTGAGGGTGGGAGAATATGTGCCTAAATGGCTTCAAAAACAAATGGAGTGTGAAACAGTGATAAACGCTGGTGGGAGACGACCCTCTTCATCTATAGCTAAACATATCATGGAAACAGGTCACAAAGTTAATGTTCAAACAGCTTTCAAAGTCTTATATAGAAACAGTCAGGGACGTATTTTGAGATTTGTGGAAGCCATAGCCATACACAAGTTTAAACCACCTTTATGTGTACAAAAACAGTTTGTTATTACAAGTGAAAAACTTGGGCACTGTGGTAGAATGTAGTTCCATATTAGATTTGTTTATTTTATATAAAGCTTACAGTTTGTTATCACACTACACCTACCTTGCTGAACTTTTTTCTTGTCAGGGTTAAGATCAACTATGTCACTTCCTGTTCGTTCTCATCTTTCTTACTTTTAATCCCTTATTGTGTTAATTGTTGTATTTATCCCCCCTCCCAGTCCTCGGTTTAATATATATTGACTTGACAAGTAAATGTGTGATCAGATTGTTCGAAATGTATTGCGCAAATACATCACATTGCTCAGATAAACTTCGTCTTTTAATTACGCTAACCATTTTTTCATCGTAATCTAAATGTTTTTCATTTTCTCTGTGCTTCAAGTCATAAAATTTAGGAAGTTTTGGTTTAGAACGGTTTTTAATTGAGCCTAGTATCATCGCCAAATATTTAGATAAGGCATAAGTAGGAGTGTTTTTGAAGTCTACTAGGGGCCTCATAGGATCACCCGCTTTATGAATTTTAAGAGCACAATTAATCCTATTAGGATTATTAGTTTCTGACATTAATCATTTCTACTCATCTAGAAACGGCTTTGTTCGGTCCTCATGTCACCTACATTCGTCACCTCATATCGTACAACGAAATTAGATAAATATTACCCTTTTGTTGTAATGGTAAGTGATTTTTGTCTGTTCATTTATTAACCGAATACTACATTCCCTTTTCAAAGTTACTCTGAAATTAAATAGTATGTAGTTATGGCCTAAGATATACTAATTCCAGATAGCTTGTTAGTCACATGTCAGGTTACAGCTGGTTCTTATTCATATTAATGATGTTTTCAACCATCGTTCGACAGGTATAAAGTGGACTTATGTGTGTTGCAAGACTTCAGTCTATATGTTCATTGGTTAGTAGAGGGTAACAATTTCATATTTTCTAGTCCTTAATGCAGACAGAATTGTCAGTCGTCCTGCGATATTTTCACCAAACGACAACAGTATTTCAGTGGTAAAATTTCTAATTGCAGCACTGGATAATATGGGTTGGAAGTTTCTTAAGCGACATCAGTGCATTTGAGGCTAAAAATATGCTTTACTTACGAGTTTCAACTGGTTCAAAGTCCCTTGCCGAATCCCTTCCACCAAGTTATGCCTGTTTATTGACTTTAGCTAACTTGACTTAGCTCGCTAATAGGTAGTATGCATTGGGTTTGTTTCCAACAGTAGTACCTGGCACAACAATCGCACAGGGAACTATGCATTAACCACCTGTCACAGTGTATATGTTGTTAATGTGATGAATGTACAAGTAATAATCTGTCTCCATAATTTTGTCTAATGAACAGTACCGTTCAACCGTTTAACATAACTTGCAAACAAGGTGTCAGTCTACACACAGTTTAAATATAGCTTCACTTCAAAATATGAAAGTTACGACCAAACTACAGGTTGTAAAGTATTACAGCATATTTTGCAAAACCAGACTAACTGATCAGTAGATCGTAATGGGCTAATGACTTCCAAAACACCTAATTTTGACTGCGTTGCTGTCTTTACACGAATTCAATAACTGTTTACATAATTGCATCCTGCATATCCATCGTTAGCCACTATGGATCTTTTTTCAAAAGTATTATCCGTATACTATCTTACATTTTCGCTTCTGATTTTGATTTGCATTAATTGTGTGAATGAAATACGTATCACCGCCTCCAGGATTCCGATTAAGTGCACCATCGTTGTGAAAAAGTAATTCTTCTAGATATACACAAATGAAAGTTCTTTCATTCATTTTTTTTCGTACCATTTTGTGATCGATGACATTTCAGTCCCACATAAAGTAACATTCTATCTAGCAAACATCCACATGCCAGGATCTGCTTACATGAATTCGGGTTCTAATATCTTTGTCCCTGCTGTGTGCTATATATGCGCTCTGACTTTTAGAAAAATATTAGAACGGATTAAAACATTAAAAGAAAATTATTTTGGAAAGATCCATAGACATGATTATGGCTGTATTAACTAAAGAGCATCTGTGAAAAAAGGTTAATAGTGCATAAACAGTTTGATGCTTATGTTCCGGGTGTGGAATATCAACAGCCAAGTTACAGATGGGTTAAACTGTTTGTCAGATGGAGGTTTTAGCGAAGACCCGCTTTAAGTCTGAAACGGTTTAAACCTTAAATCAATAAAGTTCTCCTGGTACATCGAGAAAAACTGAGAATAAATTACAACGGATTGAAAATATGAAATTATGCAAATCCAATGGAAAATAGAATAACTTCATACCTTTTGCTTTTTCCACAGGGTTAAATAAGATAAAAATGAACCGTTTTTAGAAATACAAAGAACCCATTATGCCTCTCCTTTCATTCTCACCATCCAATGTTTTTAAAAGAATAGTCTAGCTGTTTTAGACATATTTAATATACAATTTTTTCATAAAATA